CGCGCCTGGAGCACAGCGCGCCCCCCGCGCGCACCTGAACGCTCTCCAGACCCCGGGGAGGGCTGGCGGGCAAGGCAGCAGGCGCGGGGCGCATCTCTCCTGCCCCACTTTCTTAAAATCCCCAGTTAGCTAGATTGACCCACATCAACCAACAAGGTGCAGTCCTTTTGTCAGACGAATGGCTCTTGATTGCCTGTTCAAGACTGGACTGCAGTCAAGTGCTTTGCAACGCAACAGGGACAGCTTGTGGTGAAGGGTTGTCACCTGGCAAGTCTGGAGAGCTCTGGGCCTGCCTCTGTCCCCCCCCCCGCCACCCTATAGGTTTGGGGAGGGAATCATAGGCCGCCATCAGCATCACTTCCTAAGCAGTACACTTTCATTCCGAAACCTGGGGTGTCCAAGGAACGAATCTCTGGTCCTCACCAACCTGAAGGCTCCTTCTCTGGCCCTGTTTCCTCCTCATGTGTGTACCCGACACAAGACGCATGCATGTTTTCCCCTCCTCAGTCCATGTCACATGCATGGTCTCCAGGGTGTGTTGGGCACTGCGACCAAGACAACCTAGGAAACGGTGCAAGGAAGGGACAACTGGGGAGGGAGCATGGGGTCCTTCTCCCTTGCATACTATCTCTGTTGCATGCTTGTGAACGCAGAAGCCCAAACTATGTATGATAAAGCCCATGTCATGGGTCTGTCTGTAAAGTACACAAATCAAGAGACATGAACTAAACCCTGGTACTAATCCAGATACGAGCTCGGTCTCCACAGCTACTCTGGCAGCACAGTTACCCTACTCTAAGCAAAGTGTGCTGCTTTGTGCAAGAGAATTCATTGATGTAAATAATGCGAATACATACAAAAAACTGCTCTGAAACATTTCAGTCTCCCTCGCCACTCTATAAATGATCTGCAAGTGACTGTAATAGAGAAAAATAACTACAGAAAACTGATGGGGGGGAGAGAGAGAGATACATTCATGCATTCTAGAATGCATCAGAGGGATTAAACACCAACCAAGGATTTTCAGCTCATTATGAACCATAAGACTCTCCATTGCTTCCCACTATTTAAAATTTGGTGTTAATAATGCTATTGTTACTTTGTAGACTTGTATCCAGTACAGTACCTCCTACCACAAGTAATCTACTCTTTGAAAGCCCACTTACTGTGCTAATGGACCATTGCCACTTTGTCTAGTATTACCTTTAAAAAATTGCATTTTTTTTTAAAAAAATTCTGTCTGTGCTGTCAAGTCCATTTCGACTTATGGTGACCCTTTCTGGGGTTTCTTAGGTAACAACTACTCAGAAGTGGCTTCCCATTCTCGCCTTCTTCTGGTGGTGTCCTGGGGCTGATCCCTGGCTCCAGCTGCTCCCCCTGACTGAGCCATCCAGCCGGCAAAGCAGAACAGAAAAATGACTAATAGCCAAGACGATGAACAC